TTCCCCCGGAGGAGCTGGAGGAAGTGTCTGGAGAGAGGGAGGTCTGGGCATCTTTGCTTAGACTGCTGCCCCCGCGACCCGGCCCCGGATAAGCAGAAGAAAATGGATGGATGGATGGATGGATGGATGGATTGTCGTAATCATTTATAAAAAAATTTGAAAACGACATATTAGAAATGTCATTGACATTACCTTGTTTTGTTCAACCAACAGTACACTCCAAACCCAAAAAGAAAGAACAATCTAAGAAAACCAGCCTATCCTTACAAAATTACCAGTACATAAGACCCATACCTAAGCAAAGTACTTGAATAAATCTACTTAGTTACATTCCACCACAATGATTAAGACACTAATCCCAGCAGTTACAAAAACACATTTAGTAGTAAGTACTGTTGGAGTGAATGTATCTGTTTATGTACTTGAAATTCAGCTGTTCCAGACATGAGCCTCTTTGTGTGGGACAAAAACTATTACCTATAACACATTAAAACCAGCTCACAAACAGAAAACTGTATTTTCATAAAATGTACTTTGATTTTGCAGGTCAATGTCACAGTGTGGCACACCTGGTAAATATGTAGGTGCTGTAAGAAGACTGTGTGAAGAACACTGTGCTGGAGATGAGTAATTGGCTGATGAAACAATCACCTAACACAGATCTACTGTAAAATACAGACACACAACACACTCTTGCCCCCTGCTGACTCGATGAGGAAACAAGAGTCAGTACTTTGCTTTCCCTATACAGAAGTATGCACATTCCCACATTCCATATGGTCTGTAAGAACAAGGCAGATGTTTGTCTCAGTGGAGCAGGTGAGGGGCCAGTCGAGGGTCTCGTTTCAGCTTCTGATCCAGGACACGGTACTTCTGAGGAGCTGCTTCCTTGTGCCTGCAACAAATACACATAAATAATCATCAAACACACACCATATGGACAAAGAATTGGCTTTCTGTTCATTTTCTGCAGTAACAGCCATTCAAGCAGTGGTTCTGTATTGTTACATGACTTTGAACTGTTAAAAATAGATGAATCTTTGGCTCTAAAAGTCTAATTCTGTGTTGTGGACTGGAAGATACTGATGATGTGTGTGTGAGTACATGCTGAGTCGTGTCTTGGTGACATGTATCTCTAGCGCTTTCTCTGAGCAGTAGCGCTGGTACTCTCGCTCCTCCCGTGCTGTCATGTTGAGCTGGTGCTTCTGGTACCACAGCTGTTTGTTCTGCAGCTCCTGTGTCTCCTAAACACAGATGTTGTTGTGAACATTAACCAAGAAAAGGTTTGACAAGACCAGAGTTGTAGTGTCTCTGAATACCCTTATTTATCCCAAACTCCTTTCATTCCTCGAACCACTCTGGCCCGTTCATTCATACATGTCATGAAACAAAATGATCTCTTTAAAGCATTTATATCTGCAGCATGTTTCTGTGGGTATGTAAAGTATAAACATACACTACATAATATACATGTCTATATACTCTAGAATATTCAACCTTTAGTACCTACAATGCCTAGAACTTTTGGTATCACCCTCTGACCAGAGCCCAAATTTAGATAGTGGCAAAGTAAAATGGTTACAGTGGATACACACACCATCACATTTTGTTGAAGGCTATACTATACATCCTGTACTGTACCTTTTCCAAGCGTTCCTGAATGAGGTTGGCGTGATCCACCACTCTCTGTTTAAACTCGGCCAAACAGTCCCGGTGCAGCTGCTTGGCGTTCTCAGCGCTTATGATCTCACAGTCCAGCCGGATCATGAAGGGAGCCAATATGTCCTTCTCCTTCTCCTGCAGCCACCTCTGATCCTCTGCAGCCAGACGCTCCTGGAACGGCAGAGAAACTGCTGACAACAGATGTCACCCACACGAGGGTTTGGCTGTTCTTACAAAAGCTTTAACCTTATTGATTTGTTTAAGGTGAAGTTTGTGGC